GAGTGATCATGTATTTAAAAAGCAACAGATTAATCACAAAATAAAAATAAATAAATCAATCAATCAAACTTGCGAATTATGGTTGTTTAATTGTACCTGAGGTGCAGTAGTTGTTGCTGCTGTGGTTAATCGGCCTTCGAGGGAGTCGAAGACCTTGAATTGTAGAGGAAAGCGTGTAGGGTTTTTTCGTAGGTGTGAAGGGTTCGATTGTCTCTGGGTATTTTCGCCTTGGAAATTCTTCTGGAGGACGACGGTGTCACGGTGGTGGGGATGATGATGAGAGTGTGAGGGAGGGAACGGAAGATATGTATGTGGGAGCTGAATCTTTATTAAATTAAAAGATTTGTTTAAAGTTGAAGCCCTCACTTTTATTTTATTTTTAAAATTTCTATTATTCTTTTTTAAATACTTCTAAATTTTAAGCGTGGCCTTGATACTACGTAGCAATTCGATGTTACAGGTGTTTAGCAGCTGAATTTACTTTTTATAATTATTTTCTATTTTCAATCTTAACTATTTATTTTTTGCTATGATCACCGCTAAGTAATCTCGGAAAAAAAAAATTGCTGAATATTCTCGAGAATGGTAATGTGATAATAATCACTAATTAGGATAGATCAAGACTATTTCGAATTGCTAATAAAAAATTTATTGTATTATTATATATAATATATTTTTGAAATTACTATTGGTACTTTAAAAATCTCATTTTAGGCTCCAAACTTTCTATAATTATAAAGAAAAATACACTTGCGAGAAGTGTATAGTAAGATATTTAGAGTGCTAATAACACTTCTCATTTTTAACGTAATTTATACTTAATAATTAAAGATGAGAACGGTTAGTAGCACTCTAAAAATCTCATTATACACTCCTCATAAGTGTATTTTTCATTCTAATTATAAAAAGTTTGGAATGTCAAATGAGATTTTTGGAATGCTAATAATAATTCCCTTAAAGATATTTGATTTAATAAGTTATTAACTTTTTATAGAAAGAAAAACCTTGTATCATGTATACCTTAATCCTTTGTGAATTATTTTGATGAAGAGAAGAAAATAATTGAGGTAGAGTCACATCATATGTGACCTCATATTATAGATTAGCACTACTTAAAACGCATGTTTTTCATATAAAATAGAAATATCCAGATACCCAATAAGATTACGATTATTTAGTTATTTTTTTCATTTTTTTTTTGTTGAATTAGTTATGTTCTTAATAAGAATTGCACTTTTTAATTGTTAGTGCATTTCAAATGATAAATTAGAGATCTTTAAGGGATGAAAATATATTGGAAAGATAATCTCCCCAAGAATATTTGGAATGCTTTGCTTACCCCAAATTCCTTTATTAATTAGAATTCTAAGGCTGGCAGTTAGCCATTGACTATTGTTTACACGAATCGCATTGTAATGATGCGCCCGGGACCCTCTTCTTAATTATGATTATGATGGATCTGGACCCTCCGATTATTGAGATTCATTAGCTTCAGTGAAACCGCCTTATGAGTGCCCTTCAATTAAGCCCCAATTCCAATGCTAAGTCTCTCTTTTTTTTTTCTTTTCTTTTTTTTATATAAATGCTAAGTCGCACTAGAATAAAAATTGTAAATCTTGCTGTAATTAATATTTAACATAGAGTAATTGTATAAAATTATAAATTTTAAGCAAAGATAGAAAATTCTTCTTCCAAACATAGTGTAAGTTAAAAGTCTTAAAATTTGAGTTGTATAAATAATTAGTTTGATACCAATTTATTTCTCACTTCTTAAACTAAGTTTGGTATAAGAAAATGAATTCATGAGAAAATAATTGCTCGTGTCCGATACTAGGGGATGGAAAATGAAATTCATATTCAAAAATTAATGTTGATGCTAGCTGGTCCAAGGTGACTAAGTTGGGTTTCGCTGGGGTGGTGATGCGGGCAGAGGGGATAGGTTTTTGGTAGCAGCGAGGTACTCTATTATGGCTCCTAATGCTGCGGTGGCTGAAGCTTTGCCGCGCTTTATGGGTGTGAATTGGGTGTCTTTTTGGGTGTTAGCTCTATCATTCTTGAATCAGACTTTCTCGAAGCTGTCTCTTATCTCAGTGATTCTCTTGAAAGTGGTAGTTGGGAGGCTTACCCTATCTTGGCATTGGTCTTGGGTGCCAAGATTAGCCAATATGGCGGCGGATGTTCTTGCGTTGGTTGGTTTTACAGAGATGAGTGATTTTGTTTGGGTTGATAGGCCCCCATCTTCATTGGTACATGTTTTGAACAATGATGGTCTTCCGTGTCCACATTAATTTTGTTGTGGTGGTGATTGGGGTGACACTTTCACTTGGTTGAAGTATCCTGGATGTATCCCCTTTTACTACTTTTGTCTTGGTTTGTCTTTCATGGTGTTTGCCTCTAGGTAGGCTTTCGTGTACCATTTTGGCTTCTTTGCCCTGGAATGATATTCCTAGTTTCAAATATATATATAAAGTGAATTTTATGCATAATACAAAAGCACAGCTCGAATTAATGCATAAATACATGCCTCATTTGTTTTTTTTTTTCACCAAAAACTGCTTCACTTTAAAGTTAAAAAATAAACAAGTTTTTGGTAAAAACAAAATGACCTACTTATTTTAAAAACATTGGCCTCCAGATAAAAAACAGTATGTAGGTTGCTTTTAAAAGTTAATTTAATAAAAAACAGAGTTGAGTTTTTAATGAATATTTCAAATTCTTGTAATACCTTCATTAGTTTTTAAAATGACATTGTTTAACTTTCTACACTCATTTTATCTCTTGGAGCACAAAGTAATCGTCACCGCCTACCATTACAAGCACCAACCTTACACCACTGCCATTACCACCACCATTAACACCACTAACGTCACCACCACCACCATCATTTTCGCCACCGCCAATACCACCACCATAACCAAGGTCGCTGCCACTGCCACCACACCTGCCACTATCATAGGTATCGTCGTCTCACCACCATTATTACCTCTACACTTCAACCACCACACCCACTATTGGCACCACCACCAAACACCCACCTTTGTCATTGCTATCACCACCATTGCTCTTGCCACCGTTGTCATCACCATCACCCCAACTTCTCAGTCCATTTTTGTCATTATACACAATTATATCATTTTTACATTAAATTTTACCAACTATTTTTACACTGTTTTTCAAACTCACAACACTTTTAAAAATACAGTTTATCAAACACTCAACTGTTTTATTTTACAACTGATTATTCTTAAAACACTAAAAGATCAGTTTTTTTTTCTAAAAGCTCATCAATCCCAAATTGACCCTAAATAACTGAATTTTTGTGATCCTTATGATTGAACAGACATGGAAAAGGAAAACTAACCCAACTTGACGAATGGGAATAATAATATACCGAATCGTTAGGTTGGTCCTTTTGACAAATTTGCCACTATGTTTATTACGTTTTGATTGGAAGCCAAGGACCAATACTAAGCATGACCTGACATGAAAAAAGCAATGCCTCATTTGATAATTAGTTGGCAATGTTTTTTAGAAGCGATGTTTCTAATTGCGCTTTTAGATGAATAAAAGCATATCAACTAGCAACAACGTTTGACAAGTTATCTACTAGATACGTAATTTATAGAAACATTTTTCTGTGCTTTGCAAAGAGTATATAAGTGCTTCTTTGTAAAGCACCTTAAAAAAAAAAACACTTACTACCAGAAGTGCTTCATCCGAAAGTAATCAGTATGGAACGGCTCTTAATTAGGTGTTTTACAAGACATATGCATGGGTTACATGAGAAGGAAAGGAGGTTGTAAGCAACCTTTTTATGCTTCTCTAACGACAAGAAAAAAGAAATAAATGGAGCTTAATATCTAGGCATCTTCCACTAATAAAGTTTTTAGGTATGGGAGAAGAAAACGAACAGGATTCGTGCACCGCGCGCAAACCCCGAATCATTCGACGTCGGATTTGGGCGCGCAAAAAGCAACATGTCGACGTGGACCTCCGCCCACAAACACATTCGACCCTCTCCATTTGAATTTTTACTCTCTTACGGATTCTTTTTCCTTTCTGTGCACGATACTGGTATTTTTATGGATTGAATGGAGACATGAGATAAGACGTGAAGTGTCATCGTACAACGAAGATTAACGTATTGTACGGTCCCATTCGCCTAGATTCGGTGGTTCAGAAAAATTATGACCGCCACAATTCGATCTTAATGTAAACAGCATGTAACTTTTGTTATTGTACTTTCTTCTCCACCGTTGAATGAAATTGAACGGCAAGTGACTTCAATTTTCTTAGACCATGAAGTCTAAGAGAATCTTATGACAACATTTGCTTGGCTTATGCAGAGCCATTCTTTGTTGCCAGTGAATACAATCCAGACACATTTGCAATGCAACAGTAACTCGTTAAGATCACAAGAATATTTTCTACACATGTTCTGTAATTTGCCTGCAAAGATGACTCCTTACAAGTAAGAAGCCAAATATTTGGAGGCCTGTTATAGGAGGAGGACGAACATGGCACGGGTCAGCACCAGAATGGCATTCCGTACGATGTAAGTTACTCTCCCGTAATAGGCACAATGCCATGATAAAGTCTAAATCAGAAGAATACAGATCCTCCCGAGATTTAAAATACTAGAAATTCAACTCAAATAAACTCCTTAACATACGAACCATACAGAAAAGAAAGCACTAGTGTAAACAAACGAAATCGCTAATACTACCCTCGCATTATAACTTTCACAACAGATAATTTAACACGTTACTTGTCGCTGTTTGTTCTGGACACTAAAGGGCAGCTGATTTATTGCGTCGATTGAAGAAGACTTGATCTACTCTGACCCTTGCATAGGAGCTATCTTGTATTGGTTCTGTGACGATAAATCATTCGTTAAATCAGATCATCCTGAGTTCAAAAACCACAAAACCAACATACTCACCACCAGCAATAACACTTCTATAGTTTCTTTCATAAAGCGATTCTCGATACCAAAGATAAATGAAAAGCAATAATCATGTACAATAGAATTGTAACACAAGCCAAACAGACGAAGCATAATATCACAAAAGGCAGGCTCAAAAAATCCTTGACATGCAGAAATGTCATCTGAAGATTTAAGAATCTTTCATCAGTAACTTTGCCGCACAGCTGGTATGACATTCATCTCATGTTCTCCCTACCCAAAATTTAACATTATTGAAGCTAGACTCAACTATTGGAAAGCTCGAAGCGGAACTAAAACACAATACAGTGCTCTTAGTGGCTTGCCACATCTCATTATCTCCCCAGCCAAATGTATACATTATAGCGCTAGCCTTAACTATTGGAAGGCACACACCTACCTAGCATGCATTGGGTGAAAAGAAAAACATAGCAGCAACTACAAACTCTGCAGAAACTTTCAACAGACGTTCAGGGTGGCCAAAATTACACTACTGTTTCATGTCAAGCCAAATTAATGTATTGTTACCAGAAACATGTCACTCAAACCATGCATGTTTAAGTGTAGGAGTGCAGCTTTCACTTTATTTTGCATAGAGACAACCTTATCCATTTTCCACAAGCAAATGATCATCCAGCATATACTTGCAATTCTATCAATGACAGGCACAATTATTACGTAAAATTGCAACTCTGTATCTTTAACCCAAGTGAAAAAAACCCAATCAACCAGAGCCAGGAATAAGATTAAATCATGATGTGGAAAAAAATTGTCAATGATTCTTCCTGAAGAACCATCATTTGGCCTTGCACAAATCATGCTCAAAACATGTAAAGGAATAGGGAGCTTTATTTGAGAGTTCCATCATACCACACACTTGGAGGGCCCAGTCCTTATTGTGTTTCAATGATCCAAACCATCAGTGTTTAGGTCTTCCCTCAAAGTTCATCCTTGCATTTACCCACTTAATTAAACAATTGTCATTAGTGTTTTCTTGGGATACCATTTTCTTGGGTACAACTAGATCTCTTAATGGTTTCGGATATGTCAAATTTTATGCAAGGGTGTTGTTCAAGGAAATATCTAAAAAACACAGTTTGGATCTTAAAATACAATCGGAGTGGGGGCCTACAAGGTGTCCTTCAAATAAGGTTATTTGCGGTAGCCCTCAATAAAAGAGAACTCTGCAAAGGAAAATATCATAAATGTATTGCTTATATATAGATGGAAATGATAATAACTTGTACGGAAATATATTGGTGATAAAAGGACAACTGTCTATTATTTGAACACCGATAAGTATTAAAGAAACTTGATTAAAAGAGAAAAAATCTGAAAAACAGATAGGTATGGAGAAATAAAGAGCAAGATATTACTTGAGAATTTGAGTAATTCCCTCCTTGGGAGAAAGAACCTTGGCGAGCAATCTACCATAAGAAAAATTGCCACCATAAGAATAAGACAAACTTCCATATAAATTACAATCCCCTGATAGAAGTAAGCATACTGTATACCCACAAAACAAAAACGACCATCGCTTCATTAATAAGATTAAACCATATTCAACCTGAGGATTTGGACTTGGCTGAGCATCTTTCTTGGAAGATGAATCTCCGCCCTTCCCCGAGCCCTTGGTATCACCCTGTTACCCCACAAACAGAAATCCAATTACAAGCGAAAAAAATGTAAATCAAAGCAAACGGTACAAATTATTAAAACGGCTGCATAAATAGAAAATGACAGTCTTAAGTTTAACTCACCTCCACCTGAAACATCCCAATCGAGCCAGAAGACAACCATTGAAACCAAAACCAACAGTGTATTAGTCAAACCCCAAAATGAAAAGTTACTAACAAATTTACCAAATTCCAATCTACAACAAATGAGATAAGAAAACACTCGTTTCGCTTAGCGAAAAAATCAATATGAAATGTTACTAACGAATTACCGAATTCGAACCAACAACAAATGAAATCAGAAAACACTCGGTTTTGTTTCGCGACAAAATCAAAATGAAATGATGTTACTAATGAATTTACCAAATTTGAACCTACAACAAATGAGATAAGAAAACCCTCCGTTTTGTTACGCAACAAAATCCGGAATTCTGAGATTAATTGAATACAAGTAATTCAAAAAATACCACAATCTAATGAGATCAATACTTTTCTCTTCATTTCATTTGCAGCTAAATTTTCTCAGCATCCAAACAAGTACGGCGCAACAACTTAGCCAACAGAGTTATACCTCTCTGTATTTGGTGAGGTAAACCTTGAGGGGGTCGATATAATCCTCAAAGCCTAAAGTTGCCATTGCCCAGAGCAAATCATCACCGTTGATCGTCTTCCTCTTCTCTCTCTGGCACTTGTCACTCGCCCTGCACATAATTCCACCCCCACACACACATCAAAACAAAACCGACAGATAAATTTTACAAAAATAAAAATGATAATTTACGACCAAAAACTACAAAACGACGTCGTACTCGGAGGTGATGAAGCTGATGAACTCAGAAACGCATTCCTGGACGGTTTCCTTGGCATCCTTGGCGATTTTGCCGTTCGGAGGAAGCGCCTTCTTCATGATACGGCTGATGTTGGCGATCGGAAGATACCGGTCCTGCTCCCGAACGTTGGAGCGCGGGCTTCCGCTCCCGTCGCCGCCGCTCTCGTGGCTGCCGCCGCCTGGACTCACGGGAGCTTCCGCCATTGAGACCCTAGCTCAATTACATCCAAAACGGCACAGAAATCACAAAACGGTACCGAAATCGAAAAAAGCAGAAACCCTAAACCCTCCATAATTAAGAGAGAGAGAGAGAGAGAGAGAGAGAGAGAGAGGGATGAAGAAGCGAGAGAAAACCTGTTTGATTTTATTTGGCGCGAGAGATGCAGATTGCAGGGAGGATTTTAGATCGGACGCTGGAGAAGAAAGGAGAGAGGAGACGACTGGGATGAGAGTGATGCTTATCAGCACCGTTGGTTTTTCCTTTTTATATTTGCGGAGGAGAGAGAGAGAGGGGAGAGCGATTCCGTGTTCTGCTGCGGGTACGGTTGTGGCGCTGTGTATTCATAACGATTAGACCACGTGGTTTGGGAGTTTCGGGTGGACGCTAAACGACGTCGTAGAAACTCCCTGTTGAAATCATCATTTGTGTGTCCCTGAAATTATCCATCCAGTGATCCAACCGACAAAATCGCGGTGGTAGGTCCTAGTTACCATTTTTTCACCATGACATTTACTGCGGTGGTTGAAGATTTTTAGAACAACGTCGGCATGTATAAGTTAGGTAATAGATTTTATAAATATTTAATAACAAAATTTTAGTCTTTGTAAGATTTTTAGTTGTTTGTGTGGATTTATCCGTTTTAATTTAATTCTTTGAATTTGTTGTTTTTGCCCGTTAAGTTGAGTTCGTGTGTTATACAAGTTGTACTATTGAAATTATTTTAATGAATATTGTCATTTTTTCCAACATTTTCAACTCGTGTAAGGATTGGATTAGATATCAGAGTAGGTTCAAAGCATGTTGAAAGAATGGTGTGATTAAGAAATGATTTCTTCCATTACTAATAAGTTTTCTACTTTTAAATTAGACAAATTTAGAAGTTGACATTTAATTCCTCCTTCAAACTTATACATTGAATCTAGTGAATGAGTGAGCAATCTGATCATAGAAAACAAACAATGCCTTACGTATTCGTTGGTTCGAAATTGTTAATGGTTGTTAAAAATGAGAGAAAAAGGTTATTTGCATCACATGTATATACCCTAATTTAGACAAATTTAGAGGTTCGCATTCATTCCTCATTCGACATGCATTAAATTTAGCAAGTATCCAATCCAACTAAAGACACCAAACAAAGTCCTATGTTGTTTGTCGACTTGAAATCGTTTATATATGTAATGCACAAGAGAGATTCCTTCATAGTAAATTTATGTACTACCGTTAACTTAGACAAATTTGGAAGTCGTCATTTTATCTCTCATTTAACATGAATTGAATCTAGTGAGTATCCAATCTAGCAAGTGGCTCTTTACCACAATGGTGAAAATGTGTTGAGTCTTTGCATGATGGTATGGGTTCAGACTCCGTCGGTATCTAATCTAACAAAGTTTATTGTTTGACCAAAAAAAATAATCTAATTTAGCCATATACACCAAACAATGTCCTAGAGTGTTTGTTGTTCGAAATCATTAATATACGTAAGGAACAAGACAGATTCTTTCATGATAAATCTATCTACTACCTTTGACTTAGACAAATTTCGAAGTTGCCATCTATTTCTCATTCAACATTCGTTGAATCCAAGATCTAAAATATCGATATTATTCCAATGTTTCCATCGAAATTTCCGTGTTTTTTGACTACCGATATTTCCGATATCATCGATCTTTTAGACCTTGATAGGAACTCTATGTGGTACTAAGTCACTCATGTATCTTACCATGCAATGTATAAAGTGTAAAATATTGTACTAATTCATTATATATAAATGATTATGGTGTGTTTAAACTTCTTTCATTAATTACTACATATTTTCTACACTCACAATGTTTGCCAGCTCGCTATATAATCAACTTAAATCAGTTAAATCCATCATGCAATGCATTTCCTTCCAATTTTTTTTTTGTGATAAACTAATAGATAATTGGCTAAATAAACATCCTACAAAGTTTCAATAAAAATTTCCAAGTTTTTCTTACAATTTCCATCGTTTTTATTCAATTTTTATGAATATCGATAATATCCCGATATTTCCGATATCATCGATATTTTATACCTTGGTTAGCGAGTATCCAATTAAACAATAGACAATAAACAAAGTTCTAGAGTCTTCATCATGATAAACCCATCTTCTTCAACTTTGACAAATTGGGAAGTTGTCATTGATTTCTCATTCAACATGCAATAAATCTAATTAGTATCCAACCTAACCATAGACACCAAACACAAGCACTAGAGTGTTTGTTTGTCCGAAATTGTTAATGTATATTATGCTTGAGAGAGATGGATTTCCTTAATGAATAATCTATCTACCTTCAACTTAAACAATTTTGGAAGTGGAGATTTCACTCAACATACATTAAACCTTGTGACTATCCAATCCAAACATAGGAACCAAACTAAACCTAGGACTTTTGCTAGATAATCCTAAAAAGAAGCAATATCTTATGCTAGATATCTTTCAGAAATCTCCCAGTTTAATGTGGATTCAATATCCTAAGGACTCTCTCCCTACTAGTATAAATACACCCACCTAAGGTTCACATGGTAACACATACTTTGCTATCTTGTCTACTGCATAAGCTCTAAGATTTTATACTAGCTTGACTGCCAAATACCCTTTGGCTAGTACCACACTGGTATCTTAGATTAGGCCAAATATTTTTTTTGGTCCTTGTGGTGACACGACATTTTTAATGTGACCCTCGTGGTGAAAACGTTGTTAATTAAAACCTCGTGGTGAGCATAGTTAGCAATTGAGGGCCAAATCTAAACTTCTGTTAGTCTTCCGCTAAATAAACTCATGCGACTTTCACATAGAGGGGTCAAATTGGTCATTTCAATCCAAATTACATCCCATGCCGTGGACATTTAGTATGACTTATGGTTCAACTGAAATTAGATTTCACAGCAAAAAAATTTGAACGCTGTCGAAGAGTGAATTAAACTTGTAAAACCATGTCAATGGCTAAGAGAAGAGGTGAATGTGAAGTCGCGCTTAATTTCTTATGTATTTAGTTTAGAAATCCTAATGCCTCTAATAAACCCTTGTTTTTTTTTTTCTAGTGCCAACATGTCTTTGATCATGAGTTAGAGTCTTAATCTAATTTGAATTTGAATTGTTTTTTTATTTTTTTTTTAGCAATTTATACCAGTTTGAATGCATATATGCCTTACAATTTTGTCTTTAATTGATAATTTCGTTTACCACTTAGTATGACGGTCTAGTGGTATTATTCTTCATATGTAAGTGAGAGGTCTTAGGCTCGATTCTCGCCAAAAGCAAATTTGAACCACATTAATGCTAGTCCGTTATGAGCTAAGCCCACCTCCCCTTAGTGTAGATAATATCGTTTGTTAAAAAAAAAAAGATAATGTGGTTTCATGCAGGCCATGGTCTGGTAGTACACAACCTTTCAATTTTTGTCTTAATCTTCTTTGAATTTTAATTCTTTAAGTTTCTTATGCTCATAAAGTTCATATGAGGAGAGGAGGGCAGATGTGAAAGATGTGATTTTTCCTGTAATGCCTTTCACCCATTGTCTTTAATTCTTTAATTTCTTTCACAATGCATATATACTGCAATATCTTTAACCCATTGTATTTAATTCTTTTAAGTTATTCTTGTGCATTTGTGACTTTTTAGCATTATATAGGTTGAGATACATGTGCTGTCAAATTGCAAATTCTGATTTGTTTACATTAAAGTATGTTCATATGTGGAGGGCAAATGATATATTTTGATAACGTCGATCCAGATTTGTTGTCAACTCATGAACTGAAGTATAGGGTGGAAGTAGTTGGAAAAAAAATGATGAAGCAGTGGGAATTGATTTTATTTTGTGGGAAGCTAGATTATTTGTCTATTTTGTGGAAGATATTTTCAATGACTTGTTATGATGAACCCCATTATATTGTGGAAGACATACTTTTGTCTTTGTATGACTTTTTGGTACGGAAATTTAATTCTAACAATTGATGCTTTCATTGAAAACCAGATTATTGTTCTCACAATAACTGAATGCTCAACATGTCCACTAACAATGACGCTACCACCTAAGACGGAAGCAACTAGCTTTTAGAGAGCGCAACCACTATGGGCAAATACCTATCAATTATGGGTAACCGCGGTTACCCGTCTATTTAAATTTCACGGTTACGGTTATGGGTAACCGTTTTGATAAATAAACGGTTATGGGTATAACCGTTTACCCGCAAAATTTAAATGGGCGGTTATGGGTATTAACCGCGGTTATAAACAGGTAACCATTTACTCATTTATTTTATATATGTAAAATTAACGCAAACCCCCCTATCGGACAAAACTTATATCAATGCTATTGACTATAGTGCATGATTTCTATAGCTAATATAATATAGTTTTCCTTAATCACTTTAAATTTCATGGTCCATTATATATATTATGTTAATATTATACATTCCGAGTCAAATAATCAAAGAATACTGTCTTTTAACAGTTTTCGTAACCCAAGAATACTTAGCAAATTTTATATTACTTTCATTGCTAACAGTTAAAAATATCGTCTGTAAACTATTATTTCAATTATTGGAATAATATACGGACTTAAAAAATTAAAATGCGAAAATGTACGATGAATGTACCTATAACGATGTTTAATTGTTAGAAAAACAAAATTATGACAAATTTTTCTTTTTTAATTTTCAAGTTGTTTACAAAACACGTAGACGGGTGAAAAATTATTAAATGGTAAAAAAGAAATGATAAACGGGTTTAAAAATGATAAATGGGTAAACGGGTACTAAATGGTTACGGTTAAATAGGTATACGGTTATGAGTATGGGTATAACCGTTTAGAAAATTACCCAACGGGTAAACGGTTATGCGGGTATGAGAATAAACGGTTATGGATAAATAACCGTTGTTACCCGCCCACCAGAACCATTGCCCATCCCTAGCAACCACCAAGGACCAGATTTGGGAAGCCCTGAAGAATATCAGCGTAACTGTTGATGATCTCCAAAAGATTTCGAAGGCTTCTAGGCAGAGAACTGTTCGAACATTGTTGATATGGAAAAGCGGATAAAGGACCTGGAGACTGTTCGTGGAACCACTCCTCAAACTTAAGTTTCGACCTCCAAATTCGTATTCCTGAGTACTTCAACCCGGAAGGAAATCCGGTTGAAACCACTCCCCTGGCTTCAAGAGAAACTCCTGACCCCAACTAGCGAGCTAGGTTGCGTGATAATCGGATCGTCACTCACCATTGTTGGATGTATGCCTTCAAAATAATCAATATTAGTGAATTGCTTAAAAGTGATACAATGGTTAGTCCATTGAT